TTACGAAAATCATCCCTCTATTAATAAAATAGGCTCCACTAAGGAATCATGCCCATTCAGTAAAGAGTAGATAGAAGCCATTCAACCTACACTAAAACTTCATCAATAACAATGTAAGATTTGGGACATTAGCCCATAAAAGTAATTCCTTTAGTGCTTTTGATGCTATTTCAGAAAGTCAAGATATTGGGATCATTGACTCAAGGGCATTTGATCACATGACAAGAAATGAAACATTGCTTCAAGAATACAGTCCATGTAACGAGAACATTATCGTAAAAATAGCAGATGGATCTCACTCAAGATTGGCCAAAATAGGTGATATCTTCATCTCAAAGGAATTAACCCTAAAGAGAGTAGTTCATTTATCTAATTTATATTGCAACTTGTTATCAGTAAGCAAACTTACTCAACATTATAACTTTATTGCTAAATTTTTCTCCAACTTATGTGAATTTAAACCATAATTAAGTTTGTTAAGTTTTAAGTACAAATGTCTCAAAAAAAAATTTATTTGGCCTCATAATTAAGTTTGGTAAGAACGAAGGCATAATGTTTACTAATTGCAAAGCATTGACCAATCTTGCTCAAACAAAATTACAATATCAATTCTAATAAAGCATCAAGTATGAATAAAATACATAATCCACTGATATAACAAAAGGAAAAATGAATTTAGAACCTTTGTTCTTGTCGATCTGCAAGGAATCTCTGCCAAATGTACATCTTACACTGCATCCTCTATTATAACTTCTTCAACTTTTGACCTCGCAAACCATTCCAAAAGGCAGCTGCATTCACCACCTTTTTCCCAGGAAGCTGAACTTCCAATACCTGTCAAGTCAAGGAAGCACCATAATCAGCAACTCATGAACCTATGCATGCTATTTGTTATAGCATATTGAATAATTTCACAACTTTAAAATTTTTTATCTCTAGGTTAATATCCAGAATCGGTATACTACTAAGAAAAGAATTGGAAGGATCATACACATTACAATGCAGTTTTGATTGATGATGTGTTCGCATGGAAAATGATTTACATACACCAACACTAGACTATACTCAGAGAAAACCAGAAGGTAATAAATGAAATTCTAGGCAACTCAAGTTCCATTCATTTTGTTGGATCATGTTCTCATATGGAAACCACGACCAAGAACCTGCTATGCTACAATTGCCTCTATCATATTGGAGAAATATTTTAAGATCTACTCAGGCGAAATATATCATACCTCAAGTATTGTGCACCCTCCACATGGGAACAACAATGCATTCTTCTTGAAAGTTATCTCATCTGCTTCATTTCTCTGAATATCATTATCACGGCATACTCTTGTAGTAACAATCTTGAGTTCTAAGATATTATTTTCACTGTCTTTGCTGTCAACAACTAGAACTTTAGCTCGGGTTCCTGGCCAGCCTGCAAATGCACGAACCTAGAAGAAGGTTTCATGTCATCATATTGGTTCTGAGAATAGGAGATTGCTTACCTTATTATGCAGGACTACAGCGTCCTGATCAAATGATAGCCATGACTCCTCTGGAGTTATCTGCAGAAAACCACACAACTTCAGCAAAATCAACTTATTTAAGCTTACTTAACAATATTGAGTCAGTGTGACTGAGAGAGCCGTGCAAGTAACTTGGTAACACTGGTATATTTCTGTTCTTGAAATTTGTTGCTTTGCAAGCAAATTTACTTGGTTGAGTCTTGCATACAAGAAAAAGAATAATTTGAAGGTATCATTCTTCATTTCTACTCAGAAACGGAAAAAAAAAATCATTGTGTTCTACCCTGAGATCCTCTAAACTGAAAGCACTGCTGCAAAACTTGACATACACAAGCCTCACCTAAAATATACAGCATCAACAGAAACAGTCATAAAGCAAAACAAAAAATTATAGAACAAATTGCATGTATCCTCCATGAAATGCAGGTTATAGACAGTTCTTATTTCTCCTTAATAGCCTCCCTATGTAGCCTAGGGAGGTGGTAACTTTGGAGTGTATCCTTGACTAGTAGTTCATTGCCCCCATAATTTGCAAAGAGTCGAATAAATCACTATTGAGGCAAGGCATCATCATCGACCAGATACTGCAGCCAGACATTGTTTGTGTAAACACAAATCTACAACATTTTTTGCCAATTAAGGATGCATGATACATTAAGAGAACAAGAAAGCATTAATGCCCACAATTAGCTAAACTACACATGCACGCAAACCAGGAGCCCACCCAAGGTAGGGCCACATTTGGACCTCCACCAGCATGGAAAACCTAGGAAGTGATTTCCTCAGAAGATGAATTCCATGTTAAACATGATTTTATCCCTATCATGGTCCAAGATGCTTCGATTTAAATTTTGCCCAAAATTCTCAACTGACCACTAGGACAAAACTTATGGGGGCGGCTTAATTCTGTAAAAATATTGTGTAATTATTGTAAAGTAACATATATATAATATCATTAATCATCACATTAAATGAGAATTTGATGACTGTTCTGGATACTATGCACCATAAACCAAAGGAAAAGATACCTTTGGAGCCAAGGTAGCTTTAGAATCATCTTGGTTTTGTGCTTTCATCTTTGCTGATCCATCCAATATCAAGGGAAGCTCTCGAATTAGAAGCTTAGATCCTGCATAACTAACAAATTACATCATTTATAAACCAAACAAAAATTAAAAGCTGTATCCATGTCAGGCAAAGTAGCACATAATACAATCTGTTTGTTGAAGAAATTTACTGAAATATATGAAAAAAGTAATAAGGTTTAATCTTGTAAATCAGACAAGGTGTTTTAATGGCCTCTATATAACAGAACTGGAACACTTTAAAGGGAGACACATTGAGATGTATAAGGAAATCCACTCTCCAGAAATTTGTAAGCAAACATGAATGCATCTTTTGGTTCTTATTTCTAAAGTGTATGGAGTAGAGTGTGGACAATCTAGAGATTTTAGACCAATTAGCCTAATGGTATATACCTATAAATTGACTGCCAAGGTTTTGGCAAGTAGATTGAGTTAGGCAGTGCAACAAAGCGGTTGGGAATGTTTAGGGCCTTTCTGAAGAATCGACAAACTCTTGAATACAACTGTAGTCCACTGCTATTACATCTGATATCGGTTTTAATGATGAAAATTCAAAAGACTCTAGTGCCATCACCAATTAGGATAAGATAGGGAAAGGCATGTTGAGAGATAGTGGAATAATTCTTAGGATTTTCATAGTTATCCCTGGTACAAGATATAGGAATATATAGACCAGTAGACAGCTGGCTTTGTCCAATTTCTGGTATGTTTGCAGGATGTACATGGTGACCCAGCTACTTGCAAAACAAAATAAAAATTACAGGATTCCAAATACCTAGCTATGCTTTATGTTAAAAAGTGTATGTTGAGTTAGAGTTGAGAAGGAGTGTTAATAAGTGTACATTAAGTAGGGCATGAGAGAGAAGGCTTCCAACAACACAGTGATTGCAACAGGCAAACCAGTTTTACACCAGAGACCTTTTTTGGTTTAAGTAAAGGAAGCTTGTGCTTGTCCAGAGTTCCATTTGAGTGTACAACTATATAGTGGCCAGCAAGTGACCAGATGGTATCATATATGTCTATATAAAAAGAAATTAGGAAAGATATATGTAGACATATATAGTACCGTCTGGTCACTTATATATGCAGGTGTATAACTGAAAGAATCTTTAGAGTACATGCATACAATTAATTTAAGAAATAGCTGTAGCATAATCAAGTGTACACATAGAAGAGAAAGAAGCTACAAAATATAAAAATGACAAGAAAAAAATTTAAGTACCTTCAGAAAATAGCAATGAAAGTAAATCCGGCGCCTGCATGCAAATAAGAGCTAGACATAAATTCTTGGAAGGGGTCAACTGGCTTTTAGGAGAAGAAAAGTAGAAAATGTAATAACTCTCTTTTTTTCTATGATACAGGACAGAGAGTTTAAACACAAACTTAGAGAATTTTTATTAAGAACAAAATTTGGAGATCTCGGATTTCAATATCAAAGCAGTATCTTAATATTTGAGTAATTATCATGGACAATCTACCTAATAAATAAACTAAGTACCTAATTTATAAGCACTAAGTACACCAAAAATAGGAAACCTACAAAACCAACTAAAATAGAAAATAAGTTAAATAGAAATGATTAAGGAAATAGGAAATATAGGAAATAAGAAATCTAGTAAATTAAGGAAATAAAAAAATAAATCATCCTATTTTTCTTATTATAGCGTCTTCATAAAGTTCATAGGTCACAAAAGTTTGCAACCTTTCAGAATGTCAATTGATTTTACTTTTCTCCACATATCCATATTGATCAAAAGTTTCATATGAAGTGTAAGGTAAATTATCATTTGTAATTGAACCATATACTTGACAGAATGTAACTAAAATAACTTCGCTCATTTTTTTAGATCCATCCAAAATTTCTCTGATTTCAAACACATTTTATCCAATATCAACTTGCAAAAATAGAATAAAGAACGAAAACTTGAGCCAACAAAACTTCAAAAGGTAAAATAACATTTCTAGAAACCTCAAGAGTTGTTTTGCAGCGAGGCTTTTGGGTTGTGCCGACCAGGAACTTCTAAGACTAATGTTGGAGGCAATTTCAACCACCTCTAGGTGGTGGTTCGCGAACAAGCTAACCTGCTTTCCGGTTTAGAGTCCTTTTTTATGAAGAAGGAAAGACAGGATGTATATGCAACAAGCAAATGGAGGTATTTTGAGAAGTGAAATGTTGAACACTTAAGGAAACATGATGAATCAAATTTAGGATCTGATACCAACTAATATAGGACAAGGAGAGCTTAAATACAAACTCAAAGCAATTTTATTAATAACAAAAATTTGGAGATCCCGAATCTCAATAATCAAAACAATATCTCAATATTAAAGAATAATTATCACGAATAGTATACCTAATAACTAAACTAGATACCTTATTTAATAGGCACCAAATATATCAAACAGGAAATCTAGAAAACTTACTAAGTAGAGAATAAGTTAAATATAAAGGATTAGAAAAATAGAAAATGTAGGAAATAAGAAATCTAGGAAATAGGAAAGTAAATCATCCTATTTTCCTTTGTTATAAAACATTTCAAAACTTAGAAAAGGAGATTAAATATTTCTTGTCGCTTTGGTTAACTTAGAAAAAGAAATTAAAATCTTTATATCCCTTTTAATTAACTTCCCAATACGTTTATATTCCTTTGTTGATTCTGCCTCATATTTCCTATTATTGAAATATGTCCACTTTAGAACTCCCTATTCTCCATTACTCCACGCAAAGAGTGAAGGTTTAATTGAGGGCAAGCACCAAAATACCTTTATTTGGTCATCAACTTCTAGTCTCTCACAGGAAATTACAGGTCCAGCATCCAATGCACGTATCGTAAATGCCAATGATACTCCTGTCTCCTTTACACCATCCTAATGCAGGGATTTACGTGATTGCATGACTAAAAAAATAGTCTCAAACATAAATAATAGACTGAAAGCTTAAATAAATAAAAGAACCTGCAGTGCTCTTTGAACAGGAGCAGCACCACGGTAAAGTGGTAGAAGACTTGGGTGTATATTGACTGTCCCTGAGAAATCAGAAAGCATAGGCCATTGAGAAATGGCAATCTTTCCACAGATAATCACAAACGAACATACCATCAAGCCATTTACTCCTAGTGATGTGTCTGATTGACAATTATCTATATTCAAGAAGTGAGAAAAACCAGAACATTTCAAACAACTTTTACTACAGCCACTCTCTCCCAACCCTCCTCACCCCCCACACCCCCACCCACCCACTCCCCGAAAAAAGGTGCTCATCTATTAAATGCCTCAGAATATGGTGTCTAATCTATTACAAGAAGAATATCTGACTAACCCAGTGGTGGAATCTTGAGAAACTTGGTTGGTAAAATGTTCCCATATGCCGCTGTAATGCAAAGTTCAGGATGCAAAGCTCTTAAATTGGATAAGAAAGTATCCTGCAAGAAAATATGGAGAAAAAGAATCTCACCTGACTGTATTAGACATTATCTTTCAAGAGCAATGATATAAAACAAGTAAAAGACAAAGACTAAAATCCCATAACTATAGAAAACAGAATTCAGACATGAAACGTCTATATTGTTAGACTATATTTCAAACAGGCAATCTACCCTCATCCCACTAAGCAATCCTCTTCATCCCCCAAGGTATACATAACAGAAGCTCTTTTTTTAAAAAAAGAAATACATAACAGAAGCTAATAGAAAGCAATTTCCTATTGAAAAAAATTAAGCAAGCAGATAGGACTAGGTTAATCATTCAATAAACACTAGAAACAGGTATATCTCCAGAAGAATTAAGAGGCACAAATTGATGCAAAATCATATCTAGATCAGGTGGCAAAGATTGTAGATAACTCCAACCAACTCCAAGAGGCAAAGTACTTGGGCAATCCTAGAACTATCAAATTTTCAATTCTCTCCCAAAATATTAGATCGGAAAGCACCAAAGGATTCATACCTCCCCAGCCCGTTCAGGTGTCAAAATCAGATCAGCAGAAAAGCCTCTTTCAAGAGCATACTGTGCTACTGGTGAGGGCATTACCTTTCTACCCCTGTCTCTTCTAGATGGTTGTTGAGTAACAATTGCTGCAACCTAAGTCATAGAAATTATGAATCAGTGATTAAACCTTTTCCATCATATTCAAATTCAGAGTTGTAAATAAGTTCAGCAGTCAAATCACTCATTCAACTCAGTATTTCATTTAGCATTAGACCCCTTAAATCTTCTTCCAGATAGAGGTTTTACTATGGCTCATATCAATACCAAAAGAACTGGAATCGTGAGAATTATACAGTCTTAAATGTGATTCGTTAACTTTGTCACAGATGCAGTTGTGAAGCTTATACATACATGGCCACAAAGCTTGTCATGGTAGTCACGACATCATAGAAGCAGATAATCACAGATGTCAAGTAACAAGTACCAGACACCATGGATTTGAGTTTTTTTTTTAAAAAATCCAATATCTTTCTAGATTAACTTAGTTGTAACCAATGGTAATATTTCCTGTTGCATCTTGAAAATTGAGAAAATATAAAGTATTAACTAGTTACTTATACTAAAAAAATTAGCATTTGAGTTTACAACCACTAACTAAGATGTTGAAGAAAATATTGAGGACAGCCCATCAGGCGATACTGTACCTGGAGAGGACCAGCCCGTAACCCTTCCACTGAAGGGAGTGGAAGGTTATCGTTGCTCTGTTTCCAGCCTCACGCAGTCCCCTCAGCTCTAAGAGTTGCGAGAATCAAAGTCCACGCTCGATACCCACAACTCAACTTCCCTCTTGGAATGGGGGAGCCAGCATGTTGACCATCTGAAACCCGACCTAATAGACTAAACCAATCTTAATGCCCCCACTTAGGTCGCAAGCCCGCGTGACTAGGCTTGGCTAAGATGTCGAAGATAATGACAATATTAAAAGTCAAAAAGAGTGAAGAGTACTATTGGGCTTTACATTCTTCTTTGTTTGGCTGCCTATAACCATTCATCTGCTCTATTTTTAAAAAAAAAAAAGAAAAAGAAGAAATTTTTTCCCACACTTTTGCCTTATCTCCCTGGTCCGAGACTAATGGTCAATCTTATAAAAACTTTTACCATCATCCTAGCCAAATCAGAGAGAGGATAAGAGCCATACCTCTTTTCAAAGAGACATGAAAAAGAGTTGAATTAAGCAAGAACAAACATTAAAGAGGGAGAAGAGCAGAGTGATATGCAGGCCATGGTGATTAAAATCAGCTTATTCTTAGTTTTATTGCTCAAGCACATTACATTCTTTTTTTTTTGGGCTCAACTACATCACTTCTCTCTGATCTTTTCTAGAACATTTGAAAAACAGGACATTATATAGCTTCTTTGAGACTTTATGTCTTTGGTTGACGAAAAATTGAGAAAAACAACACTTTCTGAACTTTTTCAAAGGTTCTGCTATGCTTTTATTGCCACCTGAATTAGTTTCAAATTCACTAATTTATCTTCCAAATATCGATTTTGTCTTTATACATATTTAAGTTGTTTGACTTCTGTTCATCTACTTTTATCAGTGTTTCTTCCAATTTTCATTTGGCTGTTATAGACTTGTTACTTCCACATGCAGGAATGGCATTATCCATTGGCATATCAAGGTATCACTATCCTGGTACCTGAAAATCCCTTAGACAAGGTTGCAGATAATTGTGAAACTACTATTTATTAGATAGACAGATTGTGCTCGATCTGTGGTGCTTCTAGTCTAGAGGTTTACAGAAAGAGGACCTTTTCCATCTGTTTAACTTTTGGATAATTGGCCAAATCAATTACTTCAGAGAAACTATGCATCCATGTCAACAAGATGGATACGAGTCCTACTTCATCCATTTAATCTGTCATTTATATAAGCATGAGGCAACCGTGATTCTCAGTGAAAAGCTTAAAAGTAAGATCCAATGCCCTCAAAACAGAAACTACAAAATGACTTGTACTTATCCAAGTCAAATAAGAGATGATCTTCGATTAACTAGCAAAATGCTGTCCCTTCAGGAAATTAGGAAGCAATCACGAATTTCATATGAAACACTTACGTAATCAAACTAAGCTCACGATCCACACACATTGTCTTCTAAGGAAAGGGATATAAATCAAAAAAGCCAGGAATCAAACTAATTCCAACTTTCAAGGTTCTTTTAAGGAATTAGTAATTAAGGTACAAGAAAAGAGAAAAAGAAAATTCCGAATTCTCGTGCAGTACCTCAAAAGAGGAGTTAGGTTCGGCAGATGCATTGAAAAGAGCGTCAAGTACAGTTGCAGAAACCTGAAAGAGATCGAGGATTGAACACTCGGATTTATGAATACATTTACAGGCATAAATAAATGATACCTCAGGAGAGCCTAGGAAGACAAGAGACTTCTTCTTGGAAGAAGTGGAAAAGGAAGACGAAGCAGAAGCAGTTGCCGCGTTAAAGCAGAAAAAACGACGTAGCGTCAACGAAGTCATTCCCTCCTTGAACGCCTATTTTCTTGGCAGGTGTCTCTTGGATTCTGCTTCGTCTTACTCTGGCTCTGAAAGTTCCCGCTGCCAGTGCCAAATAAAGCACCGCCATACGCTATCCGGGCAGATCCGAAAGGGAATGCAAAACACACGGACAATACCCGACCCGAACCGAACCGACCCGAAGAACTAATTGATTAGTTTTTTCAAAAGAAAAGAAAAAAAAAAAAAAGAAGCAATTAGCTAATTTCTTTCCTCTGCTTCATAAGAGCTGAGTGTATATTATTTATTTTAAATTTTTTAATGTATTCATATTTATAAGACATTTATTATATATATATTTTTTAAAAATAATATTAATATTTTACAAAATAATAAAAAATTTAAGCTACAAATACTATATTAATAAAAAGAAAACATTCAACAGGATGAATGCTAGAAAAAAGTGATGTTTTATGAGGAAAAATATATTTCCAATAACTTTATAATCATTATTCAATAACTATAATTTACAACTTCTGCTCATTGGCAGGTATAGAAATTATCTCTAACCCAAAAAGACATTTGAAACTTCCCCATCCTGTGCATTAGAAAGATCAACTCGCCGGCCTGTGAACACCGAGATTCACAACTTAATCGATCAAGAACAATCTGCTCCAAGTTCTGCACAACTCCAAATGCAAATCTCCAAGTTGAGGTCTCCCGAGGGATCCAGGAAACAAAATGGGATCAGAAGAAAATCAACTGGAGGTAACCCTTCCACCCGCCCCGGGAAATTCTCAGTCAATGATTTTAAACGTAGCGAGCTGAATCCTCTTCCCGATACAAGATCATACAGAAACTTCTCCTTCAGCGAGCTCGGACCAACACGTGTTATCATGACTGTATTGCCGATGCCTTCCATGCACTTGTTTAGGAGAAACAGAACGCCATCCTCCTCTGCTTGAAGGACGAGAAACCGTTCGTCCATACCCAAGGATACTGACAAAGGATTATTGTATTTAAAACGCCTTCCAGAATCCCAATGTCTGCTGCTGAAATGCAGTGATAACAGCTCAGTGGAGCCAATGAAATGGCAATCTGGAACTGGACATGAACACGGTGCATAGATGCATGTGTCTTCATGATCAGTGCTCCTCATGTAATCCACCATCTCTCTGCACCCGTACTCTTTGTTTCGGCATGCTGTTCTAACTGATTCAACAACCACCTCTATGTCACCACAAACTATCTTTTCCGGGAAATTCACTAAAGGTTCCTGATAGAAAGAATATGATGCACTTATTGTTAACAGAACACTTGAACCAATGAAAAGAAAAATTGAAGATAAAACACAGTGGATCCAAAAACTAGCCTCCTATGGATACTTTCATCCTGATGATGATACAAGGGTTCCATCATCTAAACCAACATGCGGCAAATTGTATGTTGCTCAAAGTTAAAAGCTACAGCTAGGATAAAACATCCAACTGCCTTTTAGAGATTGTTGAGATTCTAACCAGCAAGTTGACTATCCTGGTTGCAGATGTACAGTCAAAGGCCACCACTATGCTTTATCTTGGTTTTATGCCGTGTAAAAGCACAAAAAATAAGTTGTTCAAGAAAAAAAAGGAACACAAGTAAAATCAGCCTAAATGCATCCAACCATACAACAATTTGCAAAGTTCTGATGGAGCTCAACCTCTGCCTTCCTAAAGCAATTTACGAAGTTTTTGGTCTGAAACCAAATTAGATAGGTATAAACCATATCATATTGGGTTTAACCTAACTAATATTCCATAAATGCATAACTTTAGCATAGCGTATGCAAGAAAGTCTTTAGCTCATCCAGCAAATCAATAAGGTGCACCTCAGCACTTGGACATTCCACACTGTCCTTGAGCACGGCATAGCGCTGATACTGATCTAGTTATCCCTCATATTAATGTAATATTAGCAATAAAAATTCACTCCTAAGGAGAACAGATTGTTTCAGCACCCACCAAAGCAACTACAACGACTTTCTGAACAAAAAGTAAAACTATAATTACTTAAATGAAACAAAATAAAACAAGATAATTCGAGAACTCAAATACCTCCTCCATAATAATCTCCCCATTAGTTTGTTCTTCATCGTCCTACAAAGCAGATGAAGCACAAGAAAGTACACAAGTCAAGCTTTTGACAAGAGGATTTCAGGGACATCATATATATATATATATTGACTAATATGTTTAATGAGACACCTCCTTCATGCCAGTGAATAAATTTTGTTTTCTAGGGTGAAAAGAGCATCTAAGTCAAAGTTTCTTCATATTTCCCATTTTCTATAGCTGAAATTGGAAGGCCATCATTCACAATGAAATGATTATTAGAAAGGCCAAATTTTTACCTTTAACTTAAGCAAATGTAAATTAAAAAAAAAAACTTGGCAAATGTAAATGGTCCAAGTTCATGCATTTATTTATGCAGAGCCCAGACTTGGCTTCAAGTAACAGTTCACACTTTAACCATTGAAAATAAATAAAAACGTGTACCAGCAGAAAAAATGGAAAAAAGAATCCAAGATCCAGCTCAACTAAAATTCCCACCTAACAAAAAACTGAGTTTCAGAAAGGCATATGCTCAATTCCCAAAGGCTTGTGAAAAAAGAAGGCCCATAATGATGTTTTAAAAAACTAAGATACTCTGTTTGAAAATGAATTAGTCAGGCAATGCGAAAAACATTCTGGAGGCATAACAACCCTAGAATATTAGAGTTCATAGATTTAAATGAAAACTTACAGTAAAAAATTAAGGATAAACTACAGTCTCATGGTACCTACTGTGCTCAAAGAGTAAGAAGACTTTTTTTTCTTAGTCATAATCCAACAGTTATAAATATAGATTATAGACTTAATGGCTGAAAAAATGTGGTAAGTTGCCCTAATTTAAGTGGGGGCAATGACCCAGAAAGTCATTCCACAAAACTGCTAGACTTATAACTGACTCAGGAAAACCCATTATAACTCATCAGTATAAAAATTGACCCATGCTTAAATCCATAAAGACCAGGGTCTTCTAGAAGGATAACACAGACAAAGTAAATACAGGTCCAGGACATGACATATTAAGAAGTTAACAAAAGGTAAGTTCACACTTTCAATCAGAAAATATAAAATAATTTGTGCAAAAGAAAGTGCTTCCAGTTCAGCTCTCCATGAAGCGCTATCCGCTTAAAATGACAATACATTCATTAGTTAGAAGCCCATGCCAAAAATACTGATTCAATTAATTTATCCTGAATGATCAACCAAACATCCCATCCAGAGCATTTTGCCTTTTAACTCAAAAAGAAACTGAAATCACAAATATGACTCATAAAACAAAGATGTTTACTGTTCCAAACATTAAACAAGGCAAGTACAGCACTTATTGACTACCCGGCTATCAGCTGGTACAAAGAGAGGATCATGCCCAACCATGGTGCTCGTCTTCCTTGCCAGCAGGCCATCCAGTTGACCTCCTCTATTATGCTCAGATGAGTGCAAACCGATGCATCTCTCCTTGCAGATTACCTGCCCCAAGAGCAGCAACTTAGTAAACACCATGACGCATGCTTCATTTCATTATATAGTTCAAGTACAGAGTAGATATATACCTCCCCAAAACCATAACCACCAAGCTCTTTTTCTCGTTTTTCTCTTTCAGTAATTTCTTCCTCCCCCCATGAAGCTAAGTATGGGACAATAGCAGGGCATGAACCACCAGTTCTTTCCAAAGAGATATTTTCATAATAAAAAAGCTGAGAAACCATGAAAGTTCAGACATAATTTGCAATCCATGTAAGAAATGAAGAAAGAATCAAACTTGTTCTAACCTGGAGAAACAGAAGACAGCCACCAACTGCACGTTGCTTCCCCTGATGAAAACGAGATACTTCACGGACTAATCTATCAAGTAAGAACTTTCCCCAGTTAAGTTGATGGACAACATCCATATTTGTCAAGAAATGGAGGAATGAAGGGCTAACATCCAGTCTTGCTGTTGGAGATAGAAGGGTCCCAAGCGCATAAAGAACAAATGATCTCTTAAAATCCTCTCCAGCCTCTGAAGCTGTCAAGTGCTCTTCTAGAAGTCGAACTGAAATCCCATGATTTGTGGCGTTATAGCTTTGACGTAAATCTGCAATTAATTCATCAGGGCCAGAGTTCACCACATCCTTCCCACTGGCAGCTAATCCCATCACAAGCTCCACATCCTTGGGGTACAAAGGAATGCACTGGCCACAAATTTCCAAGCTGCGTCTTGCAATATTAAACCTTTCCAGTAACCAAAGACACAAACTTCGGCGGAGGGTTCGACATCTAAGGCTAAGGAGACTGCCAAATCCCATGCTTCTTACTGCAGTCTGTTGTTCAGCCGTAAGACGTTGTAGCACATTCAATAAGCGCCCAGGAGAGCATCTGGTAACTAATTTAGTCTGCATTCCATAGCCTTAAGACCTGTCTAATGGAAATCATATTTAAACAAAAACCACTATACATGAATTCTACCTGCTTCCGAGGCTTAGGAGTTCGGGCAGGAGCAGTACTCAAGTAATTATCCCAAACTTCACGAGCTCTCCGAGTATATTTTGATTTCTCCTCAATGCTCATTGACTTCCAAGCATCTGATGCTGCCTTTGTGGCCTAAAACATGAAACTGATATATCCATAAATTGCTTCTCCGGGAATCTAAAATGAAGAACAAAGGCAATTGTTTATTGTTTCATTGACATCAATCAAGAGACTCACAGCTTTGAGTCCTGATGACTCAGGATGGGAAGCACTGTACTCCTTGATAAACTCTCGGCTATAACATTTGAGTTGACCATTAGTATATTGATCTATTAATAACCCCAATGGAAAATCTACCCATAAAGGCCCCAGTTGAAAAAAGTAATGCCTACCTAAAATGAACCCAAGAGCAAGCAGGACGAGGAGCATCAACTTGCTTCTTCTTTTTCTTCTTTTTCCTCTTCCCATCCAACACAATATCATCTTCCATCTTTCCATTTATCCCTGAAATGTCTGCTTCACTTGGTACCTAAAAGATCATATTGAGACCACAGTTTAGGAACCAAATAGGCGTAACATCTCAATCTTGAACTCAAATAAAAGAGTTCATTGGAGGCAATTCCACTAGCATTATAAATAATAAACATATGGGATCATTACAAGTACTTAACTAATGACATATTTGGAGCAAAGAAACCCAGAAAGATCATAATATCAAATAAGATGCACATTGGCAGAAAAAAGAAATGGTTTGTCAGTTATCATACACCACCTACTAAGTAATACACATTTGACCGGGTAGGCACTGAAGGAAAGATGATAGCAAAAGCAACCAACTGTATCAGGCACGAGGAACAGATGAATGCAATAATAATCATGATCGACTCAGGCACGAAAATTATGATATATTGTGTAAAAGATATTCTAATAACTAAATCAAGGAATAACACATGAATTAAACAAAACTTGAATATCAAGTCCATGTCCACAGAAACTCAAGCTAAATTACAAGATCATGTACACTGAAACTGATCACCTAAATTAAATAAAAGGCAATTTCTCAGATAATAGTCAGTCGAAAAAGAAATATACAATTTAAAATTGTTTTTTCAGAGAGAGAGAGGGAGAGAGAGAAGGAGAATCCTAATGCTTTTCCGAGTAGTACCTCGTGCTGTATCTTATTATACCTTGAACCAGGTTTAGTTTTACAGTGACTGCTTATTTTAAAAACACAACAAAAATATCTTCTTTTTTTTTTTTTCAATTAGTAGTACAACACGTAACAGCATGAGAAAACTAAAATAGAGTCTGAGAAACAAAACCATTTCGCCTGGAGAATCGGGAACCTGCAACTGCTGCAGAAAGGAAGATGAAGATAGGGGGAGCAAAGTTAGGTTAGGGTTAGGTTTAGGCGTTTCACAAGTACAACTGAGGGTATCTTTAGCTTTTTAGCGAATGACGATTGACATTTGAAATCGAAGAAAGAAAAAAGGAATGCTGTTCGGGAAAAGTGTGAGACCTCCAGATTCTTCTTCCTCCTGTTTCTTCCTGTTTGCAGCTCAGACTTATGGCACTTTGTTCTGTGCTGCGGAGGTTGTACGTTTCTCACGATTTTTCATAATTTTATAATATTTAGGGCAATTTTTTTTTTTTTTTTAATGTAAGAAAGACTGGTTGATTATTTACCCGTTCGCTGATAATTAAGAAAATTTAATTATTACGACTATAATAATTTTTAATTATCATAATTTAATTAATATATTAAAATCTTAATAATTTATCAAAATAAATTTTAAAGAAAATATACGAATAGGCCAAAATATTTTTTTTTTAAAAAAAATCTACTGTTATTTTAATTATTTAAAAAAAAAATATGACAAATTTTATGTTGAATTAAAATTTGAAAATATTAATTTAATTTAAATTAACTGACATGGATTATTTTTAAAAAATTTATAATTAATATTAATAAATAAACTCAAATTTTGATAGTTAAAATGTTAGTTATTGACTGAAACTCGAGATTGCTCAAGAAATATACACAGAATTCATATTTATTTATATAACTATGATAAAATTATAATGAAGGAAAGAAATATGACAGTGACAAGCCAATATAATATATATATATATATATATTCCGTGAAAACCATAAGAATAAAGAATGGTTAGAAATATATATTCTGTCATAATCTAGTGAAGCAGTAAAAAGAAAATATTTGCAGCATCCATAATATAAAGATAGATGGAAGAATATATTTACTCTACTGCCAACTTAGTCAATTAACCTAGCTGTGTTTTACACTGTAACATGCAGATAGAACCCATCTTTAACAATGGCAATGGAAAAAAACAAATGCTATTTCACTCATCACCTGGGGAGATCACGGGATGTTAATGAAAGGATTTCCATGATGGATATTTTTACGCCTTATGCAGAGATGTAAATCAACCTCCCCGGTGACACCAAAGAAGGCACTGGGTATCAGAATGAATTTCTCTCCGGCTTCATTACCGTCCCATTTGTGAATAATGCTTGCAGATGAATGAAAGTTTAGAGTGCTTCCGGCACCCTCTGCTTTGAGATCGTACACAAACTCCTCTGCTGCCGGGATTATAGGTAAAATGCAACTAACAGTGATCATATTACCAATCCGCTCAGTTGTGTTCTCAATGGTAAATAGAAGGCCACCGCTATCCTCCTCAAGGATGAGCAACGGCCACTCTTGTCTTATGTTAACAAGAAACTGCTTACCAAATGAGAAACTTGCCACGGCAAACTTGTGTTTTTTTTGGAAGTGTTCCTCCAATTGGTTCAATGAGCCAATGAAAATGCAGTCAGGATGGGAGTTAAAATAGGGGCATGAACATGGTGAAAACATGCAATCCTTCTCGTGCAGATGGCTTTTGCCATACGGCACTGCTTTTTCACACCCGTATTCCTTGTTTTTGCACGGTAGTCTAATAGATGCAAGAACATTCTCCAGGGCCCTGCAGCGGTTATAGCCAATGGGCAAAGAACAGAATGCACATGTATTCATCATTTGATCGCAGCAAGGAGAGCAAGCTATATGACCATTTTCACACTGAAATATCATCCAAGAACAAGGAAATCATCAGATTCAAAGATCAGTAAGTACATATGCCATTAATAATGTACCACTAAGCATTCCATCAAAATAGCAATATACTTCTAAGCAAAATAAAGATATCAATATCGACTTCATATGCCATCACTAACTTATTCCTTTAAGCCTCATTTTTATGAGGGTAGCAACATTGCTATAATTGCCTTTTAACATCAGCATATTAAGAAATATGTTGCAGTGGGATCAGAGGGAAAAAAATAACCAAACCCTATATCATACATGTCAATCTCAAGATATTTCAAGAGCAAACTAGAATAATCTCAACTCAAGCATATTCTTCTTGTTATGCTGTCATGTTCAGTTTTAATTTTTCTTGTGATATGTGCATCCACCCCAAGGATGATTAATGTTTCCAAAAGTACCGATAATTTCTTCAACACCCTCTAGCACCAAAAGAAAAACAACATATCCACTAAGTTTTGAACAAATGTGATAGACCTGCACATGACTACATATTTTAAACCAGGTAACCCCATAAAATTAAGAGTAAATAAAATTCAATAGTGGGAAACCTACACCAAATGTTCCCATATGCCTCGTGTTTTTGGGAGGAAGGTCACCTGACTTTCACTTGTGCTTTTTTTGGGGGCATAATGAAGGTAATGTATTAGCACTCCTTTTTTCAAGTTAATTTAGTAGCAATTATCAATACTAACTCACATTAAAACCACTTAATCAGATATTTTCTTCAAACTTCAAGATGATCATAATTATATGCTGGTTAGTAAAAACCTCACGATTTCGACTTTTGTTGTGTTTTGACACTTAAAACTAGAAAAAGGACCTTCTCTTCGTTTATTCTTCCCAGGCTTCTTTCTGAATTATGGATAAGATTACTAAATATTCAAAAATAAACTCTGATTATTCCATATAACTCCTCCCAACGAGTTTTAAACCCCCGTTTTAACAGTCAACTCAGCTCCAACCTACTCTCCGCAGGTGCTTTTCAATCAAGTACAACCTCAAACATTGGAACCCAAAGTTTCTTCTACCAACAAGGAACTAAAATTAACAAGAATCAATCCTTTACAAGACTCACAAAATCATACCTTTGGTAGCTTCCAGTACTCCAATCTCATCAATGTTCATATTCTAGCTGAGATGACACTAAAAATGTTAACCAACAAATTCGTGTGTGCATCTAACCCAGCCGTAATTAAGCTGAACCAAGCTTAATTCAAAGAACTAACTTAGTTTCTCAACTAACGCAGCAACATAAGAACGAAAACCCAGATATAAAATAAATCAAACAAAGTAAAATTTTCAAAGCTTTTCACCCTGCAAAAGATCTTTCCCTAAATTCCCATTCATATCCCACACGCGCAGCACTGGAACCCCAAGCAAAATGCATTGAAAAAAGAAAAAGTGAAACAAGAAAGGAACCTGAAAGATTGGGGCGGTCAAGGGCTCACAACAAATGCCGCAATCTAAAACTTCAGGATCCATCAAGGTGATAGCAATTGGCCCATCTCTAATATCTCTTCTGAGGCCAAAGTTTTGGACAAGTTGACGTGAAGGTAGTGGTTGATCGGCAGAATCTACCTCTCCGTATTCCTCTTCTTCAAATTCCTCTCCTTCCTCCTCGTGATAATCGCTGCCAAAATTCGGGAGCAAAAATCTGTCTCCTGGATCGCTTGATTCGCGATGTTGTTCTTGTTGCTCTCTTGTTTCTTCTCCTTCTTCTCCTTCCTCTCCTCCTTCTTCTTCAGCTTCAGGCACTTCGATGTAACTCGGAGTGGGAGAACCCCATAAAAAGGATGTTCGCGGTCTCTTCGAAGAGCCATTATTGCTAGGCCCTTCTCCGTCATCTTCTCTACCCAACGAGAATTTCACCATTTTCCCCTCGTTCCTCCTCCTCTGGTCTCTGCCAAACCCCAAATACGAATATGGTATACCACGAATGTTTCAACCACTACATATATATCCTCTGGCTCCTACAAGACTGTGATTACGGTGTAACCCTAGATACGATTCAACACGATTCCGGTAAGTTCGTGCAAATCTCTTTTTTCCTCAAATTCGGGGGGTTTTTTTTCTCTTTTTTAGGAATTTCAGGAGTCTAAGAAGTATGAACCGATTCGATCAGTTTCTTTATTGTGATTCTGTTTTTTATTTTCTTTTATTTTTTAAATTTGTATTTCATTTTTTCATAATAAATTATTATAAAATTACACAAGGTTAGTGTAATATAACGAAAAATATAATCGTTTTTTAAAATATAAAAAATATGACCTCATTTAATCATATTTTAAAATAAAATTATGAAGCATGGTTCTTGACTAAAATCCGTTAATCATGTGTTTAGATTACGACACCGTTTTCGAAGGAGGAGACTTGGATACGACACCGTTTTCGGATGAAAACCAAAAGATAATCCTCGTCTGTGTTTTGCGTATCTTCCCCAAAGATCTCTCGCCAAAACAAAAGGAGAGAAACCAAAGATAAACACAGCGAGAAAATCATCGGAAAAGAGGGAATATCGATAGAGAGAAAATAAATGGAGATGGGCATAGCATATGCTGCATCATCTTCTACCCCTATTTGCTGCTTTGATCAAGCTCTTACGCACAGAAATTTGCTCTTTCCCTACACCAATATCAGTATCAGTACACCCGTTAGTGGCAGTGGAAGTGGTAGTACCAGTTGCGCCTATGGAAGGAATAGACCCTTCTGCGTCAAGGCAATTAATAGCTCATCCTCGAGGAGGCCGACTTTATCTAGCAACTGGGATATTTCTGGTTTCTCTAATGCCGCTGTTCCTTCCGCTCCTCGGCTGCCCAGATTTGAAGAGCTCGATACCACTAACATGCTTCTACGTCAACGAATTATCTTCTTGGGCTCTCAGGTATTAACTTCTCCTAGAACTGAGTTTTTCTTTATATTTCGTTTTCTTTATTGGGCATCTTAGTTTGTGCTAGGGAGTAGGATTTTAGATGATTTGCCGTGGAAGTTTGTTTGGTGTATATTGTAGCTGGTATTCTAGCTTAGTTGTAGGTTTTGAGATGGGCTTTGACCGTTTATAGCCTAAGTTCATTTACTACCATGGTTCATTCTGAATCCTTTGGATTTTGAGAAATTTGATAGTCATTAATTCTGAAGTTCATTAATTTATGTATCAAATAAGAGCTTGAAAGTGGAAAGTTATGCAGAATGTTTAAGTGATCTGCTTATGATTACCCTCCTGAAGCTGAAAGGAGAATAAGGGAAAGAAAGGAGAAGGATGAATTGGATTGGGAGGGGAAGGGAGCTCAATTGTCTTGTTGTTGTTTCTTTTTTCAATATGCATAGGTTGGTCAAAATCGTTTGTCTCAAAAATTGTTTGCTTCGTCTTGATGTTGGGCAGGTGGATGATATGACAGCAGACTTGATTATAAGTCAGCTATTGTTTCTAGATGCTGAAGACTCAGAAAAAGACATCAAATTGTTTATTAACTCTCCTGGTGGATCTGTAACTGCTGGTAGGCGGTTTATTTTTTTCCAGTATGCTTGATTTTTGGCTTTGTTTTTGACAGAAAAAAGAGTAGCATACTTAGTCTCTATGTGTTTTCTTTTGGTTTATTTTGGGAACTGTTCAGAAATGGAGAAAGCTAAGATTCAAGTTATGACTTTTTTTTCGATAATAAAAGTTCAATATATCCAGGGCACCAAAAGCGTGCTGCCCATATACAAGAATATCAACAATCCTGATAAGGTCCTCAAGATCTTCGCCATAATACATCATTCAAGTCCTAGTTAAAAAAAAAAAAGTTAGGGTCTTGAACCATGAAATTTAAAAAATATCAACTTAGATTCTCTATTCTCAAAAGCCCCTATTGTTTCTCTCTTTCCAAATAGTCCAAAACATAGTCAAAAGAATAAGTTTGTAAAGCTATTATCACTTTTAATACCCTTCCATGTTCAAATGTCCTCTTTTACTATGCCTGCAATAACCCAACTCAACCCCAATAAGCTATATGTGAAAAGCTAGAGGCAGTGTGCAATTCGACACCAAAGGAGGATGTGATTGCATGTCTTTGCACCACTTTTGCCATTATTCACCAGAATCTTTCCTTTTCTGATCAACTTGTCTAAAGTTGGGATGCATTC